TAACAACATCTGCAGAGCGAGGAGCAAGATCAAGTTCTGTGAAATCGCTCTCGTGATGGTACGGTTTGCGCAATTTTGTCAAAATCGCGAAGACGCTGCCTACTCGTAGAACCACTTCAATCTCAGCGTGCTTGTCTCCATGCTTTATGGAATGCACCCGGCCTGTCATGGTTATTGGCCCGGCGTGAATATTATCCACTTTGGCGCCTGCGGTCACTGTCACAGTTGCCCCGACGCCCGCATCAACCGCTGTTTGGACCGCCTCAGGCCCTGGTACAGAGGCGTATATGACCTTCGGACCTGACTCTAACTTGAACTCCGGACGCGCAAGTAGCTGCGTTAACCCCCACGTAACATCTCCAGAGCCCCCAGCCGTGGGATTATCGCCAGAGTCCGAAATGAAATATGGTCGTTTTTCAGAAGCTAATGCAGTATCCAAGCACTCCTTAAATGAGCCCGTAGGCGCCACAAAAGTGAAGTCCTTGTGCGAATCCCAGAATAAGTGTGCTAATTGCTCCGCGCCCGCAGTTACGGCTTGCTTATCCCAACCAGTAACTACTACCACGGCCCTATTTCTAGGTTCGTCGGCCCAGGCATAGCCCACCCATATCGCTGCATCCAGAACGCCTTCCATGGCTTCAACCTTCGGGACAGCGGCGTATATGTGTGCAGCTGGTTCATCCCTTGTTGAAGTCTGCTCACCTGGCAGAAGAATTGGAATTGGCACCCAAGCCTTAAACGGTCGCACAGTCTCGCCATCTGCCTGTCGTCGAAGCAACTCAATTAAATTCCGACAAGCGCGCTCTTTGGTCTCCGCAACATCTACATGAGGTGCCGTGCGGTAACAAGTAATCAGATCTGTCTGATGTGCCAACTCTTGCGAGACGTTGCCGTGCAGATCCATTGATGCCGATACCAGGACATCCGGACCAATTACCTCACGAATGCGCTTCAGAAGCTCGTACTCCGCATCATCGAGCCCTTCAACGCACATAGCGCCATGTATATCGAACCAAAACCCATCGACTTTCGTAGAGGCCGTTATCGCGGTTAGACGGCTAACGATCTCAGCGGAAAGAGTTTCAAAGGCATCTCTCGTCACCATGCCACCAGGTAAAGCATGCCCGATTAGCGCGCCACGCCATTCTGCCGCGTCGCCTAGGAGCGTTCCGGGCTGAATGAAAGAATATCTCCCTATGATTTCCACATCACGTTGGGGGTGAAATGCCGGTGCTAGTGTTCTTGATGGTGTGAAAGTCGAGGTCTCGCAGGCTAGGCCAGCGATGGCAATAACCGGGCGGCGCGCCATTGTCACAATCTCAGGCGAGAACTTATCGTTTGATAGGCCAGCGATTACCTAAATATTGGCAGACACCAAAGCTCAGTGAGCCTTTGGTCTATTCGCAACACTCCCAGCGCACTCTTAACACAAGTTCTAGTCTATATCTCTTAGTGAGTTGATCTCAGAAGAAACTTGATATTCATATCACTGTTTCTGTTCCTGTCCTAATTAGAAGCTTTGTCCACTACCCCGCATATTGGATAGGGTGCTTCACTATCTCGATCAGGTACTTTCTATCGAAGCTTGACCCAATAAGTAAGGTGATGTTACATCTAGCCTCCATTCCTAATCTATCGGTTTAAAGCCGTGAATATCTCGCAAACAGAAAGCGGCCAATTTGACGACATACGGGCCGGTGCTACAGGAATCTTACTCGTTTATCTGTCCGATCAATCAGTTCTCACTTCACTCTCTGGCTATATCTGAAGGCATTCGTAGACTGCAACCCGAGATGTAACCTTTCCACACTAACATGCTTTTGCACCTCCTTGTATCGTTTCGGATTTATACACTGATTTCATCCGACCTGACTCCTTAAATCAATAAATATATACGGAACCTAGGCTCTGTCGTTATACGACTAAGGTGTAATTTGATGTTTTATATCACCGTCGGGATAACTCCCCGGATGACATTCATGATGCAGCTGACCGGCACAGCTAGGCATCCAGATACCAACATCTCACTTAATCCATACCTAGGTAAGCTTCAATTAGATAATATCCTTATTAAGAAGGTCATTAACTATAATTCTATGATAGTTTCATGCTGATGTTATTTTAAGATCAATAGACACCCTACATTCGCATTGTTACCTCTGCCCATTCCGGTAACATTTTAGCAACGGCTAACCTACGCCGCAACGGGGAGACCATGGAAGGGAGCAGCCGAAAATATCACTCACCGAAGCCCGTGTGAAAATATTCGTTTCTTTCATACTGGCAAGCCTTTAATATGCTGCCGTATTCGTGTGGGCGATGGCAACATCAAAGACTTCAGGAATACCACCAGGAGCCATCGCGGCCACTGCTTCATTTCTCGGTCCGCTGACCACTACTTTCTCGGCCCCTTCAACCTGCAATACGGGCAACACATATTCCTTGGGCCAAGACCTGACAGCCGTCGTGTGGCAAGTAGGCCCGACAAACTCCGTCGATGGTTGTATGCCTTCAAAATGGGCTGTTAATGGTTATTATTCACCAGCCGTATGCCCACACGGATATACCAATGCTTGTTTCATGACACAGAGTAATATCGAGACGACTATCTGCTGTCCGACGTATGTTAAGCGAAACTCGTGCCTCATGCTGCCGGCAAAACTAATGCGCTTTATAGCAATCTAGATTTCAGTTGCTACCCAGGGATCGCGTACAACAAATTTGGGTGCATTTATTCGACGCCAACTATGGCTTTGACAAGCTTACTCATCGATTACGGGCATACGACGACCGGCACTTACTCAGACGTCACGGTCACGGCACAGCCTTTCTGGGCTTTCAGTGTCCAGGTACAAAAAGCAGCCTTGATATCAGCTTCTCCAATAGCTACTTCCGATATGACTGTATTGCTAATCGATACCGCAACGTCCAACCCAACTTCCAACACAAATTTAAGTATTACGTCAGGCACGGCCTCTGTAGTGCAGACCGCGTCAGCGTCAACAAGCTCAGCTTCAACGAGCACAGCATCACCGGCCGGTACATTGGCAGGTGGGGCTGTTGCAGGAATTGTAGCAGGAATCTTTGGAGCACTGGCTTTAGGAATCGTGGGCACATTTTTATTCATGCGCCGAAGGAAGTCACGGGACTTGCCATCCCCTCACCCAGATCTCAAGCATTCTCCATCAGGTCAAAAATATTTCAATGAAGATGAAAGAACCATCTATGAGTTGGATGTGGAAGAGAAGGATATTCCTGAGTTAGATGAACAACGCCGCCCGTCGGAAATGCCTTCGCGGGCCACAGAAAAGTTTCGGAGGTCTGCTAAGCAAATGATATGGGAGTTGCCCGCGTAAGGCCGTGCAATTTTATTTTAGGGGGCTTTTGTAAATAATAACATGTATAACATGCCGATAATATCATTTGATGAGAAGGGAAGATGTGACTGGATTATAAAGGGGCCCCTTCACTACTAAGCAATTACCTACCCCCTAGTCAATTCTCATGATAATTCAATTGTAAGAGAACCATATGGTAATGATCTTATCGATCATGAGCGGCCTCATGCGCTGCCTCAATTTGAAATTTCACTATATCCGTAGTGCGAGTAAGTCCACGACCAACCCTATTCTATGGAGACCTTATAGACCCAGTGTAAATCAGGATCCTACCTACACTTACAAACTCTCATCCAGAGACTTTCGCTCATTGTAACGTTTAATTCAACGAGGTATTACACTCACATCCATATCATCGGACGTCAAGGTTTCTTAGGTAACTGACAGAGTGCGGGCTGTTCCGTAGCTGGTATGAATACTTAAATAGCTTTGGGTAATCTTGGCTTTTTCACAGCTCGGTGTTTTTAGAGGTAATACCTGTATTATTACAAGTCTCAAATATCAAAAAAACGAACACGATCATATATAACATCACCAATCATGGATAAGCTGAAGAAGGCAAAGGATGTGCTTACCGGCCAGACGTTCGCAATTCCTACACACACACTTCATTCGAATGGCACTAACTATTGGAGCAGTACGGCCAATAACGAAGCTCAATCCCAGAACCCCGGGAAGAACTCTGGGAAAGATACCATGGTCGACTCCAGTATGTACAGCTCTCCCTCTTCATATGTAGGATGCTGAGAATATAAATTTAGTTATCGACCAGGAGGCCAACAAGAAGGGCGTCCCGGGGGGTGCTGACCCGATGATCAATAACGTTGTCAACAGGGAGATCAACAAGTTAGCAAAATAATCTGCAATCTAGTCTAACGATCAATATGATTATGGGTATCTTATTGCAGAAACCTCTACAAATATCATTCGTGCTGTCCTTGTGATAGTAATTACTGTTCAAAGCCTGCTCCCCGTGAACATGGGCCTGAGTGTCACACTTGGTACGCCCCTAAACACATCTCCGTGGATATATCTACGATACATACACACAAAATATCATTGAACAACACGCATAGCACGGCATAAAGTATATCTGCCTAGTTGCCTGTATCGGATCGGAGTGTCCGTATTACGCGTCATTCTTGTCCTATTTGTTGTGTTGCGCCAGTAAACATGATTGAGCGCCGTTGCTAGATCAGCTTTCCCAACATGGCATCACTATACCCTATACCCTCTTATTCAACCCCGTTCTAATTGGAGAATGACGAACTCAAGCCTAGAATATCATGGTGTGGTTAGAGGTATGATGCACAGTATCTGAATGCATAAAAGTTTCCGATCTATCCACAGGTCTTAAGCAAGCTGCTGTGCATGGCAGGCACGCGTGAGATGGGACGGAAACACAAACTACGTTTAGCTGCCTGTTTCACGCAATCTATCCACTCCATAGAAAGGAAAACAGGCAAGAGCGTCCCTTGTACAAACAAAGTACAAGCTGCACTGCGTGCCTTCCCAAAAACAAACCTTGCAGGTACTCTTATAAACATAAAAGTACATCTATGATAGCAAAAGATATCTCAGAAAACCATGAAATTATTAGAGACCATTATCGTCCAGTGGTTAGGATGCCAGATTTTCAAAGCCATTTGAGATCTCTGGAGACCGGGGTTCGAACCCCCGTAATGGTATATTTTTTTTAGGATAGAGGGTTAATGGTAGCCACCGATTAAGAAGAGGTATTCACTACCTAAAATTATATTATCTCTAGTTGAGTATCTATTAAGGGGGCAGAGAGTCATTTAGTGCTCTCACATCTTAATGTCACATTCTAAAAACATTAATACGATTGAATCATGAGTTTTCATTCTGTATCTTAGGTATAATGCCAATGCCATACCATGTCATGGTAGTTGAGCTAACTTCTCCTAGTTATCCTCAATATTTAGAAACCCCTTAGCCGTATAAGGTCTCGGAATCGCAGCCACCCCCCTATTTTTTGGCTTAATCAGCAACATGTCCCCTATTTCCTCATCCTGTTCACCATTTGGATATAATAGACATCGCCCAGTACCCCTCCTATCCCCCTGCCCTCTTCCCCCACCATCCTTAAACTTCATTGCTAACATACTCGACCTCGTTACTCGGCAAAAACTCCTCCTTGATACTCCTCACGCTGACGAACCTACTGATGATATTCATGCTGCCTGCCTTATCATTCGTTCCACTCGCCCTTGCGCCACCAAACGGTTGCTGTCCGACAACAGCACCAGTGCTCTTACAGTTAACATAAAAGTTGCCTGCAGCATTCCTAAGCGCCTCCTCTGCAGCCCGGATAGCCAGCCTATCGCTCGCGAACACGGCGCCCGTGAGTCCGTACTCGCTCGTCTGATCGACCAACTTGCACGCCTCGGCAAAAGCCTGTTCAGGCCCCCCCTTCGTGTCATCGTACACGTACGTAGTCAGAATCGGGCCGAAGAGCTCAGTGCTCAGGAGCTTGTGCGCCGGGTTCGTAGTCTGGTAGATAGTAGGGTGGATAAAGTACCCCTTCGAGCCATCATACTTCCCACCCGCCAACAACTCCAACTCCGGATCGTTCTTCGCCTCATCAATCACCCCACTCAATTTCTTGAAACTGGGCTCGTGGATCACGGGACCGATAAACGTCTTCGGATCCCAGGGCGCGCCGACCTGTAGTTTATTCGTCTCGGCAACGAGCTTGGCTTTGAACTCGGGCCAGATGGACTTCGCGACGTAGAGGCGGCTGGTGGCGCTGCACTTTTGGCCCGAGTACTCGAAGGCGCCGCGCACGGTGTGGACGACGGCGTTTTGGATGTCGGCGGAGCTATGCACGAGGTGGAAGTTCTTGCCGCCGGTCTCGCCGACGATGCGCGGGTACCCCGCGTACCTGCCCGAGGCGACGCCTTGGCCGATCTGCCCGTAGAGTTGCCGGAAGACGGCGGTGCTGCCGGTGTAGTGGAGCGCTGCGAATTGTTTGTGCGCGAGGACTGTCTCTGTTACTTCGACTGGGTTGCCGGGGACGAATTGGATCACGTTCTCGGGTAAGCCCGCTTCTAGCAGGATCTTGTGGACGAGGTGGCCTGCTGCTACGGCTGAGTCGGACGGCTTCCAGATTACTACGTTGCCGAGGAGCGCGGGTACACCAGCGAGGTTGCCACCGATCGCGGTAAAGTTAAAGGGGCTGACGGCGTAGACGAAACCTTCGAGGGGTCGGTATTCCGAACGATTCCACAAACCAGGCGAATTGTGTGCGGGCTGTTGCGCATACAGCTCTTCCGCATATTGGACGTTGAAGCGGAAGAAATCGCAAAGTTCCGCCGCGGCGTCGATCTCGGCTTGCCACGCGTTCTTACCCTGGCCAAGGATGGTCGTGGCCATCAACTCATACCGGTACTTTGTGGAGATCAAGTCAGCTGCCTTGAGGAAGACGGCCGCCCTGTCAGCAAAAGGGAGGTTTTCCCATGCTGGCTTGGCAGCTAGGGCTGCTTCAATGGCTGTGTTGACTTCCGATGGGCTAGCGAGGGAATAATTCGCTATCGCGGAGGAGTGGTCGGAGGGGTTGTATTGTGTAGATCTTCGAGATGATTTGATCTGCTCGATGGGTCAATTACTGAAGAAAGGGGCTAATTGGCATGGTTATCTCTACCTCTTTGCCTCCTATTATGAGCGGTATTTCTATCGTCCCCTTCTTCTGTTGAGCGGCAACCGCGGATAATAGGCCCTCTCTTTGTGCCGAGCCTTTCGCGTAAGTGTGCTATATTCCCTATCAGTCCCTTGCCTCCAAATAATCCGTGGATTTGATAATTATGTCAAGTTAACCTACATTGGGCTCGTTGGAAACTTTAGGTATCTTGAAAGCCGCCAAAGTCATTCTAGCACTTGTCGTGCTCAATGCTCTCGCATTTCTGGGAAACCGGAGAGTTGGTAGACATCTTGAGCAGACTCTAGACGATAGACTAGGGTTCTGCAATGCCCTCGCGAGGCCAAAGGTCCTCGGCGCAGACGACATGTTGGAGATAACTAATCCAGAGGCAATTACCACCAAGTTTAGGTTCAGTACAAGACAAACGCAATCCCAACTGAAATACGACTTGTTGGGAAATGCTATAATTGGAAGAAGAGAAATGGGAATCTAAGTATTTCAACGACCTATCATCACGAGAATTTTGTCCAACGTAGATTCCCTATCACGCATTATAACTCAATAGATAAAGCTTCATCGGCGCATCGACTCCGATAATTATGATGTATGGGCTCGCTTTGTCGCGGCATAAACGCAGGACCCTGCGGGGCAGAGAAGCTGCGAAGTTATAATCGAAATGATTGGCCAATGAGAAGCCCGATATTTGCTGCGAACGAGCCGAATTCGGCATGAGCGTCTAAACCATCTACCAGGCCGGCGGCACGCTAGTTGATTTTCTTACTTTGGCAGCCAGACCCGACTATTCTTCTACTATTCTAGGCGTATTAGACAATCTATTATCCGGTTAGAACCGTTCTTTTGAGTTCATACCCCTGACCAAGCCTTCTTCTAATAACATTTACCATTACCTAACTCGAAAGTTCGTGGGGTGCATACATATAGTCTAGGTCTAGGCGTACGCAAGCTTTCTAGATCACGGGATAAGGAAGAGACACGGAAATCCTATCCATTATATGATCTATGCACAGTACCTATGAAAATAGGTAGAGAGAACATGCTACAAACACGATTATTAGCAGTAGTATAAGTGTACAAAACCACCATCGGGGAATTGAAAATCAAATGCGATGCAGAAATCCTCTTGGGTATTATTGTTATCCTTCTGTAGACTCCTTGGCTAGATCTCAAGGCCAAGAGCAGGGCGGATCACAACTCCACCCTACTAAACATTTGCACTCTCGTGCTATCTTGGCCACAAAACTCCACAGCAACCCGAGACGGTTTGTCTCGGGTTGCTAATCAAAACGCACTTTTATACGCAAATAGTTATGCCAAGTCCGCCTTCATTGAGGTGGACGTTCCGGCATATCGGGTATTGATCCTGGAAGCGAAGGTATGCTGGTTGCGGGGATGGTACTAGCGGCCCCGGAAGTACCTGGTCGGCTTCGGTGAGGAGTGAGATGGTGGGCGTGGACGTTCGTTCCAAATTTCCCGGCCTCGTAGTCGAGCGCTGGAATTGTGAGACCGTACGGCTCGGTCTTGCCCTCCTTATCGTGTTGGTCGATCTCAACTCGTATACATACATCTAGACCTCCATCGTTATCCTTGCCATGTCTCTCGAAATCGGCGGCCTTGTGTTTGGTTCCCGCACCGGATTCGCCCTTCGATAAGAATTGGTGACCGGACTTCCCATCAAATTTATTTTCCGGCGAATCTGCATCCGGAGCCTCTTCAGCACCCCTAGGATTGTTTGGCGAATTCTCCGTGAGCATAGCGTAGTTTCTACTGGGCATGGTGACATGGTTGGATGACCGCGTCTTGCTAGAATTTCCAGGATCCTTGTCGAATAGAGACATAAGGGTCTCGTCGGTGTCCGCGTCAAGATGGTGGATTTTATTACGGCTTGCGAGAAGATTCGCAATCGCCGCTGGGGGAGGCTTGTTAACAATGGCCGATGAGATCACGTTGACTATATAACGGTGATCCTTCTCCACGGGGATATGTAAATTCGGGTTCGAGTAGAAACGACCTAGAGCTGCCAAGTGGACATCGCCTCCAAGAATAGTAAGTCGGACGGAGAATTCGGCACAGATTCCTTGAAGTCGGTGGACTAGAGCATTGCGCTCCTTTTTGTGGGTTCTAGCCGTGTAGTGGTCATCTAAATCGTCAAGAAGGTCCACGCTGCCGTCAAAGTGGTTGAACACGCCACCACCTGATATCATTAGTAATCGATATTACTAAGCCAAGAATGATTTACCTACCGAATCCGAATCTTCTGTTTAGGAACTTCACAGGCGCGATAAGGGGACTGCTAAACACATTTTCGAGCCAAGTGAGTCGCTATCATTGTTAGCAAGTCATCGTGATACTGAGAGCGCGGATATCATACCGGATACGCAATAGGGATACCTAGCAACAGGATCAAATGTCTAAACGGTTGACCGGCTGCTTGTGCGTTGCCAAGCTCTTCTTTTACACGGTTAAAGATTAGATCGTAAGTCTCTTCGTAGTTAACCTGGTGTCGAGTACGCTCAATACGAGCATCAATGCCCATAAATGCGATTCTGGCACCAAGCTTGCTGAACATATTCATCGAGTGTTGTGCGACGTATGGACCAGGCCTATCACCAATAATATAGGATGAGTCGAAAGCTTGTGGCCTCACATAAGTATTCACAAGTTGTTTTGGATCCTCCTCCGGTCCGTGTTCCCCTGCCTTCGGCGCATCTGAAGTGTATGTAGAAGCAGGTGGTGCAAGGTGGTGTTGGAAGAGCATGTAGTATTTGTGGGCAGTACCGCCAATGCCTCGGAAGACATCACAATTCATGAAGTCGTTGACGTACGATCCAAACCCGTCAATAATGTCATGGTCATCCCAAATGTTGAGCTGGGGTATTTGCCCGTTGGCAGACGCGAATGGTTCGGTCGAGTACCATCGAATGTAATTCCTCAGGTAGTACTCATCACAAGCTTCGCGCAAACTCTCAGGGAAGGGAAAGTCGCGTCGCTTTTTCGGATTCCCTATAT